ACAGAGGAAGAGAGGATAGAAGGGAGGACAGAGGAAAAGAGGATAGACATGATAGACGTATTGAATACAGAGATGCCAGAGATCGCAGAGATGGGCGGGACAGAGATGGGCGCTTTGATCGTGAGCGTCGAGAAGGCGACCGTCGTGGTGACAGAGATAGACACGAAGACAGAGATCGGCGCGATGTGGAAAATCGAGATGACCGACGTGGAGTTAGACACAGGCTGGCCCTCAGAGCTGGAAGAGTTTCTAAGGGTGGGAATTCCTCTAGTAACAAAGGGCACCGCTACTAGGTAGCAAGGGCATCGTTACTAGTAACAATGGGCATCGCTACTAGGATGGAATTCATTGAAACCGTTTGACACATGTTGACAATATCATTCCTTGAAACACGCTCGACTGCAAGTGCTTCCAGCCTTTGCCAGCAGGGACCACCATGGACACGACGGGGAACGGCGACGAGAAAGAGGGAAAGAAAGGCGGCGGCGCGCGACTGATAGGTCTATATGTAATAGAAACGGTTGGTGGATGATGTTACTGGAAGTGCTGTGCCCAGACCAACTTGACGTATTGTGGACAATTGCGGCTGGTCACTGGTCACTCGAAGAATTCCAAGCAAGACACCGGCGCGGGAAACTTTTGCCACGTGCATGAGCCCTCCAAGTGGGTTTGGACAATTATTTGCCTGGCTGTTTCCAACAAGGGGTGAGGCATTAATCAGGATGATCTATATGAAGTTGTATGTACATATGTATTTGCACAGTAAGTGGTTCTATCAAAGCAATACACAAAGCGCACACAACCGTTATACCGTTTGGGGCCCGCGTCAGTTAAGTTTGGCCGACCATTTGGCATGATTGGCTCATTGCGTGCACCCAATCTGAGCTGTCAGGGATCGAAGCCGAGACCGATGAGAGGATTTAGTGCTGACTGGCGTAGGGATCTTGACAGGAATGGCGGCTTGAAAGATGGCCCTGAGACAGGATTTCGAGATACTTCATCCCTCCCCGCCAGACACTTCACTTCCCATTCCTGGAGAAAAGGCTGCGTGGTGTGAGGTTCTGGCTGCCAAGAGCATGTTTCAAAGGCAGAGAGTGTCTACCCAATAATCAATACTTGATACTTCATTCGTATACTTCGGATGTGCTTAGCTTCCGAGCTTTCAAATCTCTCAACATCTTTCAAAACTTTTGGCAGCCATGAAACGCAGCTCCCCGCTCTTTGCCCATAAGATGCTAGTTCCGCGCTGCGCTGGCAGCTAAAATGAGAGTGCTGGACAGGAGTGTGATGGTAGGTCAGGTCGGTTACGTCCAACGCTTTTTGTGCTAGCTAGCGGCATCAGTAATCACCTAGTCAACAGATGCTCGTATTCTGCATTGTTGTTCGCTGCAGAAGGATGGAGAAGGTATGACAGGTGAATGGATGATGGGTGCAAAACGAACTGATTTTGTGAGATCAGGCCGCAGGTGTTTCACCTAAAAGCCTTGAGCTGAAGCCCAAGACTGCAAGAGGTTGACTCGATTTTGCAAATCAGGTGCTTGAAGATGTACTGCTCAGCGTTCTGGATTAGGTTGAAGCTTGTTCAACTAGCACCACTTTTGCAGGAGAGGGCTGCAAACATAGCCGCATACGGCCGCATACTGTGTTCAATAGCTGGAATACTAGTAGCGTTCTTGCTCCTAGTAGCGATACCCTTTGTTCCTAGTAGCTTCTTGCTGGTAGTATGGCTGGTGAAGTTGAGTTCTTTCTGAATGGCCCACGGTCCTGCTGAAGGACCTCCAGTCCCTTTGTGCTGTGTCCCAGAACTGGGCCAGCGAGGAAACTCAGAGGTAGAAAGGAAATAAACAATATTGTCAAAGTGAACAAATGGCATAAATGGCACAGAGATTGCATAAATTCTTGATGTGTTCAATGTGTGTTTCACATGGATGCTCATCCTAAAATATAAGTTGTTGGCCAGTCTCGGTAGCCGAATTTCTCACAGATGGCCCTCAGGCATCAATGCGGCTGCGTGGTCTGCCACGCATGAGTACCTGTTTCAGGAGGGGGGGGGAGAAATCCTACACGTCCTTGTTGCCAAATAATGGATTGGCCACGCTTGACACTGAGGTTGAGTCAATGCATGTCTACAGTATGCGTATAGACCATACATCACAGACCATATTCTAAAGATTATTCTTGCAAGGAGCCTGGCACGAAGAAGGACTTGAGCCGAAGATATGTAGGGAGGACTCAGGTGACTGCAAGTGGGCCTAGGTGAAGAAGAACCATGTGCAGATCACACCGTCAAGAGCAAGCACAGTGGCCCGTTTTTCCGTACACCATTGGGTCCGAGAGAATCAGATCACATCTTCGACGCGATCAGGCAAATTGCATGAGGAACCTGGCGGTCAAGGCTGTGGATGTTGAAAGCCACAATGCATGAGACTGACAGCTCCGCTACTCAAGACTGCCAGACATGGATTAGCAGCGCTACGGCAGCAGTGCCGGAAGGTGCTGCGCGGGGGCTATGCCGACGGACTGATTCTGATATTTATTCACACATGTCATGATGACACAGCATAGTAATTTACGTAAACCACAAATAGGTACACATAATATTATATATATATATCGCATCCACTCACTAGCTGTTCAGAGTTCAATTTCTCTCGTGTTTTGTGTGTCTTTCGTGCGAAAACTGCCGTCCAAATGGGAACTACCACTGTCAACCCCAAACAACTGTTATCAAAGCTTCAACTCTTTGTGCGAAAGGAAAAGCAATGAAAAACATATTAGTTTTTGAATCTCCGCACTTCTCTCTGACTCTATTTTCTCTCTGTTTTGTCTCTCTCTCTCTCTCTCTGTCTCTCTTCCTCCCCCCTCTCTCTCACAAACACTCATCGTTACAGGCCTCGTCGAACACATTGCCAGGGTCTCGGAGCACTTGGACATGTTCATGAGGTAAAACATGGTAACACGCTTTTCAGATTCCAACCTGTTCAACAACGTGATTCCAACATGAGGCCAGCTTTGTTCCTTTGGATCTGATGCGACCGAACGGCTTTGGGTAGAGTGAACAACCCGGTTGTCTCTTTGAATGGATGACAAATGAAGGACTAGCTCAGTCCAAGCCCTTCTGCATTGCAGAGGTTGAGTTTAGGCACCTTGCAGCTGAACAGATGAGGAGTTGCCTTACTGGAAGGTCATGTTGAATCTTTGGACCAGAGAAGAAGCCATCAACCAGAGGATCATCGGCAATCTGTTCAGCCTGGACCAAACCTGCATCTCAAAGAAATGACACGTCGTGCTGTTGGCTTCTTTGAGCCTTTGCCACTGCGCTTTGCGGAAGTTGTTACATGTCCAGTTTTCGAAAGCATGCCGCCAGAATGATTCCGCAGTTTGGTTCAGGATGTGCAGTTCTGTTCATACATCACAGAGCTTCAGAAAGTGTGCTGCATCCTGTACAATTACTTCTTCCTTTTCCTTCTGGAGCTATAGGTAACTCTTGATTACAGCTAGCAACAGTCAACGTTATTTTTGGCAAGGGGCTGGGATCGGAAGGTCAGAAGGTCATGTATTGTGAACTTGTAATGGCTCCAAGGACAAGCTCTTTAGGATCAAATTGCTGATAGAAGCACTCTTCGTCCCGTTTTTGATACAGGCCGCTGCATCAGATTTCATGCCTGCGAGAAAAGCTGAGAGTTTTGCTGCCCCACTGGACATGCGTCAGAATTTTCCACAAGTTCTGTTTTAGGTCTACCATTCCTCGCCTGCCTGTTGAACCTGATTTGTTTTTGGGACCTTCACTGCTTTCAAATGACGATTTGTCACATCGCAGCTGGCTCAACCATTTCAACCACATGAGCACGATGCCAAGACGAAGCTCCTTACAGTAAGCCTTGTCGGTAAGCTCCTTACAGCCGCCCCCTGCACTTCTGAAGCATGAACAATGAAGCCTCTATGTTGGTTGGTGGTCCTGCTCGGCATCAATCGCAACTGTACAGAACAACAGCTGCTGCAATAATGTATATAATAGTAGTGAAGATGACCTTCTCATTTTTAGACGCTACATACCCGAGCGGCAACTGTTGGCAAGAGTTGACATCCTCCACCGTTGTGTCTTCCCGCTTCACAGCTGCTCAGAAGCACAGCGACGCCGGCTGCTTGTGAGATTGTTCTACTCATATGGTAAGTCAATCCGTTTTGCAACTCCAAGTCCTTCTTTTGAGCCAACTGACCTGTTGCTGTCTCTTGTCCAGCCAGCCAGGTGAATGGGCGCCATTTGTGCCACAGCGGAGGAAGAGTTGAAAAACACCAATCGTGATCTTCTAACAGATGCGGAGACTCCGATCATAGGTGCGACAGACTAGGGTCGACAATGCGAATGGTTGAAGGCTGAAGCAAGCTATAGTTTTTTGAAGTCACGAAAGGTAGCGGTTACGCTACCTGAGTTTTCCTTTTGCTTTAGCAAAAATGTATTAACCCAGAGCTGCAGCCTATCTCTCGGAGAAATGGTCCCCGACATCTTCGTTTGCGGGCCGGGGGGGGGGCCCCCCCCCCCCCTTTCAACTCCACCCTAGCGCGCCTCAGGGTCAACCGTTCGAAAACACTGTAAATATCAGTGTTTTCAGCTCTTCCAGTCCTCAGCAGTGACAAAAAATCATGGAATTTACAGCGTTTTTTGTGGCTGTCCGGCAAAAAACACCGCAAAAACCGATGGTTTTTGATGCGTCTCGGTTAGACAAATGACCGAAAAGAGACCAAAAACCAGGAAAGATTTTGTCAGAAAGGGTTTTTGAGGCTTTTGGAGGCTTCAAAATTGCACAAAACTATGGTATTTACAGGGTTTTGTGCACCTTCCCGGCAGAAAACGCCGGTATTTACATGGTTTTCTGCGCTTTTCCAGCGCTCAACCGTGGTGCGCCTTTGGATCGACGGCTACAAAATACCGTAAATACCAGTGTTTTCAGCTCCTTCTGTCTTCAAGCGTGGCCTTAGACCTTGCCGCGGCTGTGGATCGACGGCAACGAAACCTCGTAAATACCAGTGTTTTTGAGCACGTCCTGTTTGCAAGCATGGCCTGCGGCCACGCAATTTACAGGGTCGCCGCACGTCACTATGTAAATCCGAAGTTGCACTTGAGAAATATGTGACTCCTTTTGAAGGCACGTCAACCTGTATTGAAACCGCTAGACCGCTACAGCTTCTGGAGGTTTTGTCAAGCGCTTGTGCATTAGTCTTTCTTTCATCACGCTCACTCACTTCTCTTCAAACAAGTGGGGGGCCTCTCACCTCCTCCCGGATTACGCCTGATTCCCTGCTACCTTTCGTTCACCCCCCTCCTCTCTCAAGTTTGTTAATATAATTTCAGATTATTACTGTATAGCACTTGCAACACACTTCAAGAGGAGAACCTTGTTGTTGGCAAAGCCCTGGTAGTGAAGCACGCCGCCAGTGTTGTTGGCTTCATGGTGTTGTGGCAGGCATGGATGCAGAACCTCTTTGGTTGCAAATCTGTAATGCGCACAATGAGAGGAAGAAAGCTCTCCAGGCCAGCCCACACCGAAAATCACATGAAAGCACGTTCCAACATAAGATCACCACGTGTCGATAGCTATGACTACAGGACCTGCTATGACCTGCTTGATTCTTTCCACATGTGGACAGAGATGGACAGAGCTTTTTTCCCGCGAGGAAGCATGGCCAGACCTTGAGCCCGAGTTGAGTGCTCGCGCAGTGGTGCCTTCATTGCAGTGGCGGGATGTGCATCAAGCATCATCAAGCAAACGCGTGCTGTTTGTGAGGTCAAAGCAGATGTGAGGGCCAAAGAACATATAGAAACTCTGGCCAAAGAGGCCAGGCCGGTCCAAAAGTCCACTTTTTTCGAGGGTTTTCTTTGCCGTTGCAATTCGAACACCCACTCTCAGTCTCTTTCCAAGAGATTCAAGTAGTACACTTTGCTCGTTGGTTTCGGGTGAGCCGCTATGAATCGAACAACATCCCATTGTTTGGCGTGAATCGCTTTGAATGCTAGGAAGCCATGAAAAAGGAGACTGACAAGAAAAGCACTGCGACTCCTCAAGGCAGTCCAGGCCTGGACTAGTGACTAGCGGCACTTGACATCACTTGACGAATTCATGCAGCAACTTCGGCTCGCAGGTGCTCGGACCCCAAGACCGAAGATCGTCAAGCTGACCAAGGCAACTCGCCCTTGACGCCAGACATGGTCATGAGATATCATGAGATGTGAATGAGGGTCGCCCGAGGTTCTTTTTCTATTTTTGCATGCGCAGATTCGTCATCAGGGAAACTGAAACGCAGCTAGGCTAGGGGCAGAGCGTTTGCTGTTCCAAACTTTTGAACTTGCAGGATCAGGCCAAGCAAGCTCTGAGGAGAGCCGTTGCAACTGGCTTGCAACAAGAGCTGCACCGTTGCCTCAAGGACTCCCTGGCACATTCCTTTCTCCACTTTAGGCCATTTTCGAGAAGCCTGAGAACAAGAAAAAGTTGCAAGAAGCTGCGTCTTGCTCGAAGATTCAGAAGGGATACCAAAGGTGGCAGACCCCAACGCTGTGACAGTTTGTTCAGTGTGCTCAGCGGGACTTCTCCACAATCTCTCTAAATCTCGAAGTGTGACGTGTGATTGCCCCGATGAAAAGAAAGCTTGCCTCAGGCTCAGGTAACCGACATATCCGACATATTAATTATGCCTCACTAGTAGAAGCAAGAACGCTGACATATTGAGCCCCCATGCTCTTGGGCTCACCAGACTTTACCCCGTGCAATATGAATGATGTCCTGAACTCAGGTGGCATCTTGCGGCGATGACAGCGCTCAAAAACTTGCTACCTTGCTGCAACTTGGTAGCACTTGCACTTAAGCAGAACCACACTCGCTTTTCTATGGCAGTGGCAGTGTTTTGCACAAAACTTGTCATTTGCTACTCCACTACTCCACTACTCACTACTCATTGTTCTTTTTATCACCCTCGTCACAGCGGAAAGGAAAAGGGCAAAACGAAAACCTAGAACGAGCGAGATACAGAGGAAGTTCACACGATCCTGCCCGAGGCCAGTGGTGAAAGCCATGCTGGCAGACTTGCTGGAGTCATATGAGTTCCCTCGGGATATGAATCTCAGCAACACTCAGTCTATGTCCATCCCCATCTTGGCAGCTGCTGCAACATGTTCGGGGTTTGCCCCGGTGTCAACATGTATCCGATCAGTTCACAGGGTTTTCGGGGGGGTGGGGGGGCGTCCGTGTTACTACTCGCGTAGATCGACCTTCACGTCTTTGTCTATTTGGTGACGTGTCGTTCGCGGGACGACTACTCGGGTATTCTTGGGCGTTGCGATGCAAAGCTGCAACGAGAGCACGTTGAAGGCGTCGCAGCTTTGTGGTTCAGCCAACATCCAGGGTTGGACTCAATGCTCGAGGCTGTGAGAATACATAGAGAAACTGTGCAAGACACTTGTCCGCCAGCCCAAATGTACAGTGAGCTGTCATGGCTCAGTTGGGAACAAGACTGAGATCTGGGCGTGTAAGTTAAAGGTGCCTTCAGATGCAGATCATGGAGCCGGGGACTGGATTGAATGGTCTTCAAAACACACTCAACTTATCGCCTTGGAATTAGTGAATTCCAAGACGATAAGTTGAGATAAGTTGAGTGTCCGGACGAAGCCCTGTAGAACGCAGGGCTCTCTGACCCTCTGCATGTTGCAGTCGGGGCAAAGCCCACCCGTTTTCCCAACATGTTGCAACATCAGATCTACAGTTAGACTGTGGAGGTTTTGACGAACAACCATCTCAGACCTCTTCAACTGCCAAGCTGTTTACTTAGGCTTCTGCCGGCGATGGCGTGCCTTGGAGTAGCACCATTTCAGTTGAGTCATCTCTTTGGCTTTTGTGCCGTGTCCTAGCTATATAGATGTTAGATGTTCTGGCTTGACCAGATGCTTGGATGTGGACTCCAGTAGTGAAAAAATGCAACTCGCAATTTCTCAAGCAGAAAAGGGTTTCATGCCGGGATCTATTGTACATGACAGCATATGGCAACCCTGATGCAAAAATCCTTTTAGAGTGATGGCACATGAGGCAGATTGCAGGCCATGCAGAAGGTGATCTTAAGAACCTTGCCTGATAGGCAGAGAGCGAGAGCAGAACGGGGGAATGTGAGCATTAGACGCAATGAAACAAGGTGAAGTCGTGGCTGTCAGATCAGAGTAAGCTTCAGCTGCACCAGGGCTTGTCCCAAAGCAGCTTTGCCAGCTTACACTTAGGATGGGGGCTCAGCTTGCGCGGCTTCAAGCTGCAATGGAGGGGCAAGTGCAGACTAGTGTGCATATGGAAGTGGGTCAAACGGAGACAGAACAGATTCCTCTGAAAGGGGTGTTAACCTTCCATGGTTTGTAGAGTGAGGTTTTGACCCACTGCCATATTCCCCCGCTCCACAGGCAGGGTTTTAAAGGGGCCAAATGACTGGTCCCTATTTTCGCAGCACATCCTCATCCATTTTAGTGTTGAGGTGCAAAGCTGGTTGGATCAGGGCCTTTCTGGTTCTAGGCAATTCGTCATGCAAGTACCATAGATATTCCATGATATTCCTGGTAATTGACCCAGCCACAATCCTCAATGGTCTTCGCAGCTGTACAGAAATTCTTCGCCGAGCATGCCGGCGATTGACCGTCTCACCAAATTGAGAAGTCGGCCGAAATTGTCAAATGGTGGCGCATCAGTCATACCACACTATATAGTAGTTTCTTGTTACTGTGAGAAGTACAGTTGAGGGTCTTTCAAGCTTTCGGTGTCGCTCGCATGTGCAGTTTTCATGACGCCACCTTACTCAAGGCATCGATGTCACTTGCGCAAAAAGAGCTTGCTTTTGTTAGCCGCTTTGCGCAGCATTTTCACTTGTGTTTGCGCCTTGGTTGGGAACCCTTGCATTTCCCCCTTTTCTTTGAGGGAGTGGCGCCCCAGCACATTGCATATTGGTAGCGGAGCCCTGAGGGGCGGTAAGGGGATCTTGCGCATTTCACCTCGCCCTTTCGCTTGAGCCATGGCTGACTCGGCCCATGGCAGCGAAGCAGCTGTGCCAGCTGCTGGTGGCATGACCTCTCCTGCGGAGGGGCCGGATGGCATGGTGGCAGCGGCTGCTGCTGTTCCACTTCCTGTGGAGGTGGATCCCTGGCAAGAGGGGGCTGATCCATGAGGCATCAACGTGGCTCCGAATGGAAAAGGGCCAGGCAGTGGGAAGGGCACAGAGTCGGGGTCTGTGTCACAAACCAGTAGTCCTGGGGGAAAGAAAGGAAAATGCAAAGGTGGTGAGAAAGGTGAGAAAGGAGCACCGAAGGCGAAGGCTGTTCCGGCTCCTTCAACACTTCTAGAAGCACCACCCCTGTCAGTTCCAGTGCAGCCAACGTCAATGCCCTCTAGTACCACGGATCCTTCATTGCAGCCACCACCAATGCCGACACCGGTCAATACAATGCCAGCTGCACCTATGAATGCTATGGGGAATGGGATGACAACACCATGGGGTCAGCCGTTCACGTATGGTCCCAACTATGGTCACATGCCTTTTGGTACAGTGCATGCACCACCCCAAGCATCTATTCCACCGGGTCTAATTGGTCCTCCTCAAGCGGGTCCTTGTCTACCTGGCGGGCATCCCCAGTGGATGATGCATGGCTATCCCATGGCATGGCCAACTCCTCCTATGGTCATGCCCTCACAAGAGGGTTCAACAGGTTCGTGGTCCAAGCCAACAGAAGAGACACAACAGGGTGGGAAGAACCACAGCGAGAAGATCAAGAAGAAGACACCACCCTCAGACCCAGAAGGACCATCAGAGCCTCCAGGAACCGATGAGGACTTAGATGATGCATCACAGCGCTCATCAACAGCGGCCACTTCAGAGATTAAGTCCATGCTGAAGCGCCGCATGAAGCAAGAAGATGGATACCGGCCCAAGAGCTCACTGGGGTCCATGAAGGTTGAAGAGTTTTATGGTGACCGCACTCGCTATTTGAAGTGGAAGCGAACCATCCAGGCCCAGCAACACCTGTATGCCCTGGAGAGCAACGAATTGGCCATGTTGGTGTATCTGTCAACCCGTCGTGAGGCCAGAGATGTGGTTGAACAGAATCCTATTCAGGCCTACACCGAAGCTGGAGGACTACAGTTGTTGTGGAAGGTGTTGGACGAAGCCTTCGGCGAGAGCGATGCAGAGCTCTTCGAACGTGTGGACAAGGAGTTGGAACGCTGCAGACGCCAGCCTGGCGAAACAATCGCCCACTATCTGTCAGAGATGAAACGACTTCGAGCCCAATACAGCAGAGTTGATCCAGAATCACGCATCTCTGACATGGCTTGGGGGCAACGATTGCTGCAGCGTGCTTCACTCAACAGGCGAGAACGCCATGATGTGTTCTATGCCGCTGGAGCTGGTTTTCAGAGCACAGCCATTGAGAAGGCATTGAGGGTCCGGTGCAGTCGAATCCACGAAGATGAGAAGCGTGGAAGTTACAGGTACGAGGACAAGTCCACTCCCAATGCAAGACCACGAGGCCAGCAGTACTTCAAGAAAAAGGTGAGCATCAAGAAGTACAATGGGGCACACATCGCAGAAGGTGATCAAGAGCCGGAAGAGGAGACAGAGGAGCCTGGGGAGATGGATGATGAAGACGCCCTTGACATCCTGTTCGAAGATGAAGGTGAGGGCTGTGAAGAAGAAGCTGAAGAAGAAGATGAGGAGGATAGCATGGAGACAGATGAGCTCAAAGAATTCTTCGCAGCCGGCTGGAAAGCCAAACAGAAGACAGCCGAAGCTAGGAAGAATCGTGGCTGGAAAGTGGCCAATGCAGAGAAGGGCCAAGGAGGAAAAGGAGGACGTGCCGTTGATCTGAAGAAGAAGAATAGCACCTGCAGCTCATGATGCATGCTGTCCCAATGTTCTCAGTGGACGTGACCAGCCACATGTCCCTGCTGCAAAGAAGGTTGCGCAGACAGTGCACTTCACCTTCATGACTGGTGCGGATGAGTCACCACCTCCTGGCACTTGTGCTCGATGTCACTGGCCAGTCCCGGAGTCCCAGAAGAGTGTCATCACGTTTGGGAGGTGCTAGTGGGCCTTGACTTGGGCGATCACTTGATGCGCTCCACAGGCGTCGCATGATCTCTTCCTCTTCCTTTTTCAACTGCGGACATGGGCGAACGTCCGGACAGTACTCCTCATAGGTCTTCTGACAGGCACGAATCCTCCGGAGCTCTGCATAGGCTGCCTCCTCCTCCTCATCTTTCAGGGCCTTCTGTAGTCTTTTCTTATCTTCTTTTGACATGCTTGGCAACGCGGCCATCACTTCCTTCGTCTGCAACTTGATGGATCCATACCCCTTCGAGCTGCTTCCTTGGGACATGGATGCTGCTGCCATAGCCGTCTCTCTGGGCACTTCGAAAGTGAAGGGAGGTGGAACAGGTGGTGGCTCCACCACGTCCCACAAGTCCTGTTCCTCCTTGACATGCTTCTCCTCCGGCTCCATTTCTTCTTTTGGCCTCTTGTGGATGTTCATCCTGGCATCCATCAACTGTTCCTGAAACCTCTGCGAGATCAGGAGCTGAAGACATTCCGGAAGCAGCTCTATGACAGTCAGTGCAAGGATGGACGTCTCATTCCATCAAAAGCAGCTCCTACTCCATCAGAGACTCAAGCGAGATGCCGTCATCCTTTTGATTCTCTTCGCTGGAGTGCCAACCAAGATGGTCACTATGCCAAGTGCAAGGACTGTGATCTCAAGAGCTGCTTGTATTGGACAGTCAAGCATGGAGCCCTGATGGTGACCTTGGCGCATGATCGACCTCCTGGAATTCCATGGCAAGCTAAGGTATGGGTTGAGGAGAAAGAGGATGCCACACAGCTCCAGACTGTCAGAGAAGGAGGTCCAAAGCCAAGTCAGATCTGCAGCCGAATGAGCAAGACAAGCACGGGAGAAGTCCTACTGCAAGATGACTACACCGGAGAAGATGTACCCTTCCACAAGGACATCACGCATCAGGCTGTCCTGATCACAGAGTTCTGGTACATCGAGCCACACCAGGCGGAAGTCTATAATGCAGTTAAGAAGAAGCTTCCACCTCATTTGCAAACTCCAGGTTTGGCCATTGCAGATTCTGGCTGTCGCAATGCAGTTGGTGGTCGATTGTGGCATGAAGCTCTCCAAGGTGCACTGACCAAGATCAAGGTGCCATGGACTCAGGTGGAGGAACATGAGGTGTACAGATTTGGAGCTGGGGCACCAGTCATTAGCACCAAGGCCTTCATCTACCCCGTCCTCATCCACGGCGCATGGGATGTGGTTCGCATCTCATTGGTGGAAGGAGAAGCCACAAGCTGCCCTGGACTGATCGGTCCGGCAGAACTGAGCCGATGGAAAGCCGTGTTCCGGTTCAGTGAAAAGGAGTTGGAGTTGAATGGCACCAGTCGGCCAATGATCTTGACCTGGACCCGGCATCCAGGTATCCGCCTCCTGGACTATGAGGACACGGAAGCAGACGAAGCAAGAAGCTTTTGGGAGTCAACGGAAGGAAGAAGAAGAAGGAAAGTCCTCCAAGAGAATCCCCAATCGCTTTCTTTCGTTGCAGGAGCAGGAGAAGGTTCAGAAGGGGAAGAAGGAAGCACAGAAGATGAGGAGCCTCCAGTCGACACGACAGATGCAGAAGAAGAAGACCAGCCGTTTCGTGGGGCAAGAAAGGAGCAATGGCTTCAGCAGTTGCAAGAAGACTTGGGCGTGAAGGTGATTGAAGCTATGTCGGAGGATGAAGAGCCCGAGGAGGCGGAAGAAAGTTCCTCTTCGCATGAGGTTGGTGTGGAGGTCATCTCAAGTGATTCAGAGGAGGAGGAAGACAAAAGAGAAGTGGCAGCCCAACGAGAAGAAGAGGTCCAAGAGCAACAGAAGGGAAAGAAGAAGAACATGAACAAGCAGCTGCGAAGAAAGTTGGGACACCATGTCCATGAGATTGCCATGTCATACAACCAAGAACAGGAGAAGCCAACCAGTTCTGCAATCTCGGAGACCTTTGTCCAGAGGCGAGTCCGTCCAACACGCAGCAGATGGTCGGTGCTGGAAGTCTTCACATGGACATGTGCCATCTCGCTGGTTGCAGCAGCACGACACTGGCACTTTCATGAGCCGGTCACCCTTCCTCGCTGGGACTTCATGAAGTCAAATGACTATGCTGAGGCCTTGGACTACATCGACCGGGTCGATCCAGACCTATTGGTCCTGGCATGGCCGTGTGGACCATGGAGCCCTCTTCAAAGCCTGGGAAACAAGACACCACTACAACGAGCACAACTACAGGTGAAGAGGGAAGAGAATCGAACACTCCTTCGTTTTGTCCGAGATGCCACTTTGGCACAGAGGAAGAGAGGGGGTGCAGTGTTAGGAGAAAATCCCAAACCATCCCTGGCATGGAAAGAACCATTGATCGAAGAAGCATTTGCCGGAACGGGAGATTCCATTTGTGACATGTGCACCTTTGGTCTTCGCCTCCCACAAGGACCTTTCCTGAAGAAGAGAACCCGGCTCAGAGGGACTGAAGAGATTGTCGCAAGGTGCAATACCCTATGTCCGGGACATCGTGAACATACTCCTGTTGTGGGAGGAGCAAAGATCAACGGTCAATGGATGCCTGTTTCTGCTTTTGCTGGAGGTTACACCACCAAGTTCGCCAGGGAGGTGATCTTAGGAGCAGAACAATACTTGAGGAAGAAAAGACCCCAAGAAGTGTTTGCAGAAGGAGGCGAACTGTCCGAAGAGCAACTGATGGAAGAAGAGGAGAAAGAAGAGCAGGAGCTGGAAGAAGAGGCAAACGGCCAAGAAGGAGAAGAAAAGAAAGGAAGTGAAGGCTGGAGAGTGGCGATGATACACCAAAGATTGGGTCATCCTACAACAGCAACATTGGTGAGGATGCTGACTTTGGCGGGCGCATCCAAGGACACCATCAAGATTGCTGAGAACTACAAGTGTCCCATCTGTCAGAAGGTGGCCCCTCCAGACAGATATCTCAAGGTCAATCCCTTCACCAGAACTTCCATCTTCGGGAAAGAAGTTCACATCGACCTCAAGTACATGCATGATGCCAATGGCAAATTGCACGTGGCCCTATCGATGATTGACGGCGGCACTTCATTTCACGCCGCATGCATCTTGCTCAACAGAAAGGCAGAGTATGTGGCCAAGAAATTCCACCGCCACTGGGCCTCCATTTACGGCACTCCAACCACTCTCTTTGTGGACCAAGAAAGGAAATTCGACGGAGCTTTCATCGGGTGGCTGGAGACCCATGGGATCCATTTCCGGGCTACTGGAGCAAGAGCAGGATGGCAGCACGGTTTCGCAGAGAGGCACGGAGGCCTCCTCGGCCATGCGTGGCACGCCATTATCTGGCAGTATAAAGCCAAAGGAAAGTCGGAGATGAAGGCGGCATTGGCTGCAGCTATTCAAGCGAAGAACCAAACCATCACAAGGGGTGGGTTCACACCATATCAGATGGTTTTTGGCCGTGCTCCCATGTTTCCGGACCTGCTTGAAGAGGACTCCACTGGCAATCTGGCCCTGAGGGAGTCTTTGACCACGGAAGGTGAAGTCCAAAGAAGCCTAGAGATGAGAGCAGCTGCCAAGATCTCCCTCCTGCGGAAGGACTGCCAAGATAAGCTAAAAAGGGCCCTGAGACGATGGCCACGCGGCAAGATCAAAGAATTCACACCAGGTGAGATGATTTACTTCTACTCTCCACAACCCACTGCAAAGCGCTTCAAGAGAGACGCAGGTGCTTGGCGGGGACCCGCCGTGATCCTGATGAAGGAAAGCAGTGAGAGATACTATATCAGCTGGAGAGGAAGGTGCTTGCTGGTGGCCGCCTCCAATCTTCGTTGCTGCACAGAGCTTGAAGGAGGAGATTTCCAAGGACGCATGCAGGAGTTGGAACACCTGGAAAAGAAGTGGGAAGATGAGAAGGACTTCGAAGACATGACCCAAGTCCCACAACCACCAGAAGAAGGAGAGAAGGAAGAAGAAGTTGGGTGGCAGCCTCAAGAAGAAGTGATAGTACAGAAGAGAGGAGGATGGAAGAAAGCAAGAGCAAAAGAGATAGCGAAGAGTCTCAAGGGGCTTAGGAAAGTCCAGAAGACCATCAAGAAGGACAAGGAACGACAGCCCCGGTTGAAGCTGAAAGATGATCCAAAGTCCAAGGAGGAGATCACCATCGAGATCATTTCAGAAAAGAAGAAGCCAGAAGAGGCCACCGAAGAAAAGAAGAAGATGCAGGAGATTGACCGGGAGCTGGCAAAAGAGATTGTGAAGCAGTTGGGCGAACTAGACAGTGAAGGCTACAAGAAGCGCCTTCGAGAAGTGCTACAAGATGATGTCCCTATGAGCCTCAAACATCGGAGGACCCAGGACACAGGCCAGCACACAGGCCTGACAGAAGAGGAGTTGGCCCAACGATTCACTCCAGAGTTCATGCACTACACCATGCTCAGCTTGGTCCACGACACAAAGAGGGCCAATGAATGGGCTACCAGAAGTGAAGTGAAGAAGATGAAAGAGCTTCTAGATCTTCCCATTACAGGGATGAGATACCACATCAAACCAAGGAAGAGATTCCAAAAGCCTCCAAAGCCGAAGAGAAGCCGCATCACCATCATGTTTGGAGAAACAACTGGCACAGCAATGGTATGCCAGGAGAATCAGGAGGAGGTCAAGACGAGGCCAAAGAGAAAAGCACCGCGAGCCGAAGGAAGAAAAGAAGGAGGAAGCAGTTCTGGTCGAGCTGCCAAATGGCGTGTATGAGGTCATGGTGGAAGACTTTGAAGAGTGGATGAAGTTGAGAAGAGAGGAGGAAGACAAGCAGGCCTTCCAAGAAGCCTACCTGTTGGTAAAGAAACCCAACGGGAAAGAGCTTGATCCACGCCACTTCAGCCAGGAGGAGCAGAAAGCTTTTGAAGAAAGTGATGCAAAAGAATGGACCTCCTGGATTGACAACAAGGTGGTTCGCCGCTTGAGTGAGGAAGAGATCAAGAACTTCAACCCGAGTGATGTCTTCAGGGCGCCAGCACGCCTGCTTCGGGTGAACAAAGGAGAGCTCCACGGTACTTTCCAACCAAAGTCCAGGTTGATTGTACCAGGCCACTTGGATCCACACTTGGGTTCCTTCAGATCAGATGCACCTACCACCACTTGGGCAGCGGTGCAACTGGCCAAAATCATCGCCCTCACTCGTCACTGGGAAGCCGCATGCTTTGATGTGAGTACTGCATTTCTTTCAGGTAAGCCAGTACAAAGGAAGGTGGTGATCAAAGCACCTATTGAAGGTCTCCCAGCAGTTCGAGATGAGAAGGCAATCCGCCCCTTTGAACTGTTGATGCTTTGCAAGTCTGCATATGGCCTGTCAGAGGCACCACGCCTCTGGTACTTGCGTGCTAAAGAGCTGCTCGAAGAGTTGGAGTTCATTGAGCTGGAGCTTTGCAGAGCCACTTTCATCAAGAAGCAAGCAGGTGAAGTCACAGCCATTTTGTGTCTGCATGTGGATGATGGGCTCCTGGTCACTGCTCCAGCAAACATGAAGAGACTCCAACAGGAGATCAGTTCGAAGTTCAACATCAAAGAGTGGCAAAACATGAAAGACAAGGCCATCACGTTTTTGGGAGTCACCACGTCTCTACAAGGCTCCACCTTCATCGATGACATGACTGAGTATGTGGAGAAAATCCAGCCGGCAGAGCTCAAGGTTGGAAAAGAAGACAAGTTGGAAGGAGAGCAGCTCTCTGCCTTCCGGAGGCTTGCAATGCAGTTGAGATGGCCAGCCCATCTGGTCATGCCAGAGTTCCTCTACCGCGTGAGCGCTTTGGCTCAAGCAGTTGGCAGCGCAAAAGGAAAAGATCTTCATGCAGCAAACCAACTGTTGCAAGCGATGAAGAAAGCAGCTGCTGATGGAGGAGCGAAGAATGTCCTTCACCCAATCCAGGGTGAGCCACTGCTGGTGACCTACTTCGATGCTTCATTGGGCAAGTCAAAGAGCATGAGCGCCCAGCAGGCTGAGGTACACTTTGTGACCAGCAAACAAGTTGAGGTGAAGCCAACAAAATCGAGCCTGCTGGAATTCCACAGCAGCAAAGTCCACAGGGTGGTCAGGTCAAGCCTAGCCGCCGAGGCCTGTTCAATGACCTCTGCTACCGACCGCATCCTCTACAACAGAGCCTTGTTCGACGCCATGTACCACGGACGGTCGGAGATCTCGCCATCATGGCGGAAAGAGCTCATGGCAGATGGCATCATCATCATCATCGATGCCAAAGGTCTCAATGACCATGTGAACAAGACCGGCAGCATGGCCAGCGAGAAACAGACAGCGCTGGACATGCTGATGGTGAAACGGTTGGTGGAGGATGGAGTGCTTCGTTTGCGTTGGGTTCCGACCTGGAAGCAATTGGCTGACCCGTTGACAAAAGATATGTCCACCGAGCTCCTGCAGGGATTTCGCACTACATCCCAGCTGTGCTTGGTGGAGACCAAAGAAGACAAAAGTGAAGAACAACGGAGAGCCAACATACGCAAAGCACAAAGAGAACGTCGAAAGCAGAGGATCACCAAGAACAAGACGAACAGCTCACCGAAACACTCTCTTTTCTCAATGTGAGAAGTACAGTTGAGGGTCTTTCAAGCTTTCGGTGTCGCTCGCATGTGCAGTTTTCATGACGCCGCCTTACTCAAGGCATCGATGTCACTTGCGCAAAAAGAGCTTGCTTTTGTTAGCCGCTTTGCACAGCATTTTCACTTGTGTTTGCGCCTTGGTTGGGAACCCTTGCATTTCCCCCTTTTCTTTGAGGGAGTGGCGCCCAGCACATTGCATAGTTACTAGTAGCGATGGCCTCCAACCTACTTGCGATGGCCTCCACCTAACAGCTCCTTGTTACTAGTAGCTTTTACCACTGCGTGGTGTTTTCTCCTGCACCTCGGCAAGGCCATGACAAGCCCAAATCAATTGGTGGAGGTTGGTGATGAACTGCTACTTGGGGCAAGAACTTCAGAACATGACATTTCACAACATTCTCGTCGTATCTCATCATCCTTTTGCATGATTGGGTTTAATAATCCTCTGAGTCCCACCCCTTGAAACATTCCCAAGGTTCCTTTGGAGTGACGACTCCGAATCGGAGGCAGGTTTGTGTAACTTGGGAGTTGGGCCAGGGCTTGGGCTCAGAACAAATTAATGATATAGCTGGAGTGTCTATGAGTGTATCAGGAGACATTGCTTGATTTTATTCATGCAAAACATGTGAGTGATATGATTGAAGTTGGAAACTGTTTGCTACGTTGTCCAACCAGCACATGCCCTTTGGTTTGTCACTGCGAAGGACGACAGGGACAATGCTACATTACTAGAAAGACGGATGTTTGCTCTTCGGTACCTCAGTAACAACCTGAGAAATGATCCATGGCCGAGTGTGATGATTTGACAATTTGATGTGGCATGCTACTACGTCACTACATCCTCTTCACTCAGGCAGACACTGCTGGGCTCGGCCCTCAAAGCATGATGTCAAGGCGAGATGTCGGATGTAACAGACTGCGAGCAGAAAACTCAATGAAGCATACAGTAAAACGGACGCTACTAGGGGCTCCTGGCATCGCTACTAGGAGCAAGGACGCTACTAGAGGCTCCTGGCCTTACTACTAGGAGCAAGGATGCTATTCTTAAGTAGGCAGCACGCAGCTCCCACGGCAAGAAGCTTGCGTGTTGGAGGCATCAAGACTGGCAAGCTCTGAGAGGATGGGTTACATGACACAGCAGTACATCGCAAAGACTGACCGAACAAAAAAGGCTTTCGCACATGTCGCATTGGTAGAAATACGATGTGGAAACAAAGGGGGGCCGTTTCAGGATCAGCACTGAAGAGGCCCGGCTTTGCCTCATTGGTGAAATGGATTTGTGAAGCGCTACTTTGCAAGTGAAAGAAGTCTGTGTTTTTACGTGGACAGCACCTGCCACAGGTCCTGGAGGCCCTGCGACGAATCCCCACCAAGTATGGGAGCTGAGGAAAGCTTTCACTCGCAATGCTCAATTCATACTGCCTTCAGACCTGACCCCTTGGCAAGTTTTTTGCTTTCGTTTGCAAGAAACCGTTCTTGAAGCCCGCACCCCTCGCATACTGAAAAGGAGTACTGTACCACCTCTGACGCTTCGCCTGAGGCACTGGAAAAACACCGGCCGCGCCAACGTGCTGGCCTCAGAAATGCCGACAGAGCCACATGCTGATGGTCTCTTTTTCGGAGATTTTACAAGGTGCGGCCAGAAGGAACCTTCACCATTGACTCCATCACACTTGGGTTGCAGCCTTGGAGTGTAAACGGATGTAAGCCGTGTCAAAGCAGGGTAAACCTTGAGGTTTGTAGTTGGGTTCTTCTTTAATTTTCAAGGCCTACATGTAAGCAAGTGTCCTATGGAAATGGTCACAGGTTGATCACAGAGATTGGAGTTATATATCCCAAAGGTGATCCTCATGAATCAAATCAAAACTGAAACTGATTATCAGAAGGTCAGTGTCAGTGTCCGACTTTTCGCTAGGCTAGTTTCATGTGCAAGCACACAAGGCCGCTTGGTCCGGGAATGAGAAATCTTGTGAACGATGATGTCCACCGGGATAGAGTATGCTACAGGGTCGTGCAGTTCATTTTCAGCACTTGCAGTGTACAATAAATGGGAGTTCTCCGCAGTCTGCGAAAAGTAAGAACTTTTGGCACCAAGAGCAATAGCTACCACATGGATGTACATAATAAAGATGTCGGCACTTTCATTTTCTTTTCCGCTACTTTGGATGCTCACGTGACAGTCATTCATTTGTGCCTTTGCCGTGCTTGTACGAATAAGAACAATATTAATATATATATATAATTGTTATGCTGGGTGACCTGGGTGTTGTCCTTCTCGTCAGGTCGCCCATTACCGTCAAGATCAACACATTTGTACCAGAACTTGTGCAAGTTACTGTATGGCTCTTAGAGTGGCTCCTTGTGCCTCTATCCTTTGCATCCGGTGCTTTTGCCATTATACACGGACAGGATTCGCTTTTGGAAGCAGCACATCCAGGTCAGGATAGTCAGAAGGGCACAGGCACAGCTATCAAACTGGTCCAAAGCTTGCAGGAGGAGCAGGTCTGCGGCAATATACCCGGATGCATCGTGCTCAGACGGGGCTAGTATTCAATTGGCAACGAGTTCGTGACCTGCAATAAACACGCATATGCAACAGATGATTGCACGTTGTGGACATGTAATTGAGATGAGCTTCCTGCCAGGCCAATCTCTTGTTTGTACTTCAATCCAGATGAATCGGAACTACGCTGTTCGACTCCCAGCTGGCAAGGGATGTGCCCCGACAGGTTGAAGCCAGCTTCCCCTTGGCTCCAGAAGAACAGAGCAATCACAGACAGCAGAACCAGAACAGAGCAGAACTTGCTCATGTGCAAAAAGAACTCCTGGTAGGAACATGTCATTGCAGATTTTCACTAGACTTTCTGCAAGGCGCGGGAACACGTGGACGGCAACAACACTGGCCAGCAGCCCAGGTGTTTGTCGCATGACCCAAACGACGCAGTGGACCTTCCTGATGTAGTGGTTGGAAGTTCGACTTGAGCGATTCATACCCTCGAATCATACCCCCGAATCATACCCCTCAAAAAGTAGGTGTAAGAACTATATATAGGTGTTAAGGTGAAACTTTTTGCTGGTCTTTGTGCCTTGTAGATGTCCATTCACCACTGGTGCATGACGTTTGTGATCTTGTGGTCCACGGGCACTCAATTTGGCCAAAATTGGATTGCGAGCTTATTGCGGCCCGCATTTCTCGATCAGCCAGCCGGCCAAGAACCACAGCCCAGCCGGCCGGCCGGCCGGCTGATCAACGACGGCGTCGGCTACTACTACTACTACTCCTACTACTACTACTACTACTCCTACTGCTACTGCTACTACTACTACTACTACTACTATTAGAGAGTGGCAGGCTGTGAGAGTGCAATTTTTTGTTTTTTTAGAATTGCATTAAGTCATTTGACATGTATAGTTTTGTGGCTTATCAGCATCTATATAGTGTCCAGTTGCCTTCGAGTCTGGCCCTTTAGGCACATATATATAATCTGTTCCTGCTCTCTTCATATGAACAAATATATTATGTATTCCTGAATCAGGGTCATTTTTTGTTTTGGAAGCAGCAAGCAGTCATTCAGATGGTTTTGAACAACATAATTAGGAAAGAAGCAGGCCATAAAAGTGTCTCTAGATCTCTGCTTATAATTATGTTTAGGTTTGGAAAGATTTTATATAGACGCGTTTATGTTACACAAGATTCTCTATAGCTCTCTGCAGATAATCATTTTTAGATTTAAACAACTATATAGAAACCTTGTATGTTAAAAACTTTATTCTAGATTTCTGCGGGTAAGGGCTTGCATTTTCAAAGTTTTCCTCTGGGTCTTTGGGAAAGCAGATATCCCATATATGTGTGTTTTCATGGAATGAAAGCTCTTGAAAAAATACAATATTTATTGATATATTGCATGTTTAAATTGACATGATCATTTCCAGAGATCCAGAGGAAAGCTTTTGAAATGAAAGCTTTTATGTATTTTTATTGTAGAAATGATCATCCACAGAGATCTAGAGGGAAGCTCTTGAATTAGAAGCTTGTACATAAAAAAAAAGTTCAATATGTCTATAATTTTTCCAGTGGTTAGTGTAAATAAACAAAATCTAACTATTTACTTCAAAAAAGAGTTGTAGTCTTGTTCCCAGCACTCCCAGGGCAAAAAATACTGTAAAACACGGGGTTTTGTAGCATGTGTTTTCTTAAACTAAATAGACTATAGCTAGAATAGAATTAGGTAGAATTAAATTGGATTTGAGTTAGAGCTAAGATAGAACTGAATTAAAACCTCAGCTCAACAAAACTTGTATTGAACTATAACTATAATCTATCCAAAATTAGATGAGAGTTGAATTAGAAAGGAATTGGAATTAAAATTAGAAGTTCGCCAGAATAAGATGTAAAACGCTTGAGCTACAAGATGCACAAGTCGAGGAGGCATTGAAATTACAAAGCCGAAGCAAAAGCAACAAGCATTGAATTAGAACTACAGCTTACACAGATTCATAACAGTTTCATGTAAACTGGAAGGTATCATTACAGTTTCATGTCAAGCTGATTGGACATGCAGTTGGCAACCACATTGATACCAATCAGAAGTTAATGCGCAGACTTGTACATGGAGATTTCGACAAGGACAAAGGGAGTGGTGGGCTCAGACGCTTTCACTGTAAGAGCGAAGAACATATGCCTTTAGGTGAGACTTAGGCTCACATACTTGAAGGTTGAACGAATAGTAAGAACACAGATTGACCTCAATAGGAAAACCAAAAAAAAACAAAACCTTGAGAAAACCAATAACAACCTAGGAAAAGCCAAAAAGTCTCGGAAAAACAAAAAACTATTCAGAGAGTCTTGGCTGGGAACCCACCCCCTCCAGAGAGTCTGAAAATACTTTTTTGGTTGTTCTTTTTTTGTTTCTTTTTTTTTGTGTTTTCTTAATGTTTTTGGTACCCCCTAGATCCAAATATTGCCTTACCTTGCCTGCTGCCACAAAGAATATTCAGAAAATCTTGGCTGGGAACCCACCCCCTCCCGAGAGTCTGAAAATATAGATTTTTTGTTGTTTTTTCAATGTTTTTGGCCCCACTCTAGATCCAAATATTGCTTTGCCTTGCCTGCTGCCACCCTGGGCGTGCAGTTTCTGTAATAAAATCTAGGCCTAAGAACAAATGAAAAATAGCAAAAAATCTGCACTCTCAGGGCCTGCCGTTCTGTATTATTACTACTACTATTACTACTACTACGGCTACTACTACTACTACTACTTCTACTACTACTACTACTACTACTACTACTACGACTACTACTACCACTACCACTACCACTACTACCCCTACTACTACTACTACTCCTACTACTACTACTACTGCTACTACTACCTGCCACCACTACTACTACTACTACTACTACATGGCCGGCCGGCTGGCCATAGCGGCTGGCCGGCCGGCCGCTATTTGGCCAGCCGGCCGGCCGGCTGCCGGCGAAATAGCAGGCCGGGTTGCCCGCGCTGTCCAAAATTGTTTGTCTTCTTGAAAGAAGAGCAAAGATTCACATCCCAGGAACACCAATGTTCCCATGTGCTCTCCCTTGGGAAGAAGAGCCAGCGGATTGCCTTTTTTTGCAGATTTTGATATATTTTTATTGACCATACTGAACCACACCCGTTTCATACCCGATTCATACCCGAATCGCGTGCCCCCACCTAGTCCCCCAGCCATCCCACATCCTTGGTTGTTTTGGCGGGGCCTGCGGAGGGCCACTGGTGCGCACTGTGGTCAATAGGGTCATGCCTTTGGGGTTTAGCGCCTTTGGTAGCAGAGTGCCTCTGCCTAGTCTGCCCAGCAACCAACAGATACTGCTTGCCTACTGCTTCACGGCGCAGATGTGGGCCCACTGCTGGAAGCCCGGCCATTCCAACAATACAGTTTCAAAGCTGCGAATCATACCATCGAATCATACGACCTGCTCAAACTTCCCGGCCCGACTACGGAAAAAATGCACACCCATATGTATATTCTAAGCCTCCGGCCTTTTCCGGCAAGAAATATAGTCGAGGCAAACATCCCGTGAGTGGACATCCTAAAACGCAAAACTATGCAAAACTGCAGGCACATAACAGAGAAACATAATAACCAATACAACTCCGAGATCCTTCGCATTCTTTGTTGCATTGCGCCCACACAGTGAATCAGCGGGTAGTATGATGACAAACATGTAGGCGTCATTCTTCAGGTCCCAGCTGGATCATTGCTGTTGGTGTTGGTGGCCCAAAGATTCATTTGCACTTACTCGGCTGAAACTGTTTTTCCTCGAAGCGCGTGCAGATTTGAGAAGTTCCTAAACCTCTTGCAAGGATTGGGCGAAGGGTGGTGAGCTTTTCATCGAGGACGCAGCGCCCCGCTCCACACTTGCAAGGGGACTTTTCGGGAGGCCACTACTTGCATTGTGGGAGTGTATCGGCCATGTTGGACTTGAAGGTCTTTGTTGGACATGGCTTGACATGCATGCAGGACCCGAAGGGACGTGAGATGCCCAGCTGCTTTGAAGTTGCCCAAATTTGACTCAACATGGCACGTTGCAAGCTCAGATGCAGGCGAAGACCACACTCTTGGCTGCGATGTCTTGGGGTTCTGCTCTCAGAGTCCGCCTCAACCTCGTGCCTTTGGGCCTCCTGACACACCTTCCCCATGCACAAATTTCCGAGATGCCGAAGATCCTGAAATGCCAATTCAGGCGCTATCGTACTGGAGAAATTTGCCGTGGGACAAGCATGGATGTGTTTCAGTCTCAGTCCTCCCAACCGTGTGAGAGGCGGCTCGGCTAGGCCAGCCATGGCCAGCCAAACGATTCAAACAACGCAGCGTAGGAATGCACAGGAAATAATTGTGATAATGATATGAGCTGACAGGCATGATGTTTGCATATTTTTGCAGAGCAACGCTTGCCTTGGAACATGTTGAAAGGTAGACGGTCGATTGTTGAGTTGTGTATCAATTGCAGGGTCGGCTCAGTGGAAGATAGAGAGGAGGAAGCCTGCCTCCGGCTGCACGAGGCGTTCATGTCGGCCATGGAGGTGAAGCTCTTTGGAAAATGGAGCTATGAAGATGTGATGCTCACTGACTTGAGCTTGGTGGACTACATTGCTGTGAGCAAGACGGCGCAACTGTTTTTGCCCCACACGCAGGGCCGATACCAGATGAGACGCTTCCGCAAGGCCTTGTGCCCCATCGTGGAGCGCCTCGTGTGCTCCATGATGATGCATGGCCGCAACAACGGAAAGAAGCTCATGGCGGTGCGCATCGTGAAACATGCCTTTGAGATCATCCATCTTCTCACCGACAAGAACCCCATCCAGGTGTTCGTCGATGCAGTCAAGAATGGTGGACCTCGGGAGGACTCCACACGTGTAGGCTCTGCCGGCGTGGTTCGCCGACAGGCAGTAGATGTGTCCCCCTTGCGCCGAGTCAATCAGGCAATCTACCTGATTTGCACTGGAGCCCGAAACTCCGCCTTCCGCAACATCAAGTCCATTTCAGAGTGCCTGGCAGATGAAATCATGAACTGTGCCAAAGAGTCCTCCAACTCCTATGCCATCAAGAAGAAGGACGAAATTGAGCGCGTGGCAAAGGCCAACCGTTGATTAGGACATTTGGGAGCTTGGTTGGAGCGCAGAAGCCCGAGAGCCTGCCTACGGCCTGGAGATGTCAAAAGATCTGAAGGGCTTTAGCTGAGGGGTTGGGTCATGTGTGTCTTCCAGTTTGCGTTATCATTTGAAACCCATTGAAACCCTACTTCAACATCTTCAACTCGACTCATGGACAAGCTTGGCGCCCTCAATGGAGCGCTTGCCCATTGCCCAGGCACAACCGATGGGCCTTGCCCTTGGCACCCAAGAAGAAAGTTGATTGATACATTTCATTCTCAAAATGGTTTCAAGACCATTTTTTGAGTTGCAGCTGCATGCTGGCGTGAGACACCAGCTTTTTGTCATCTCCGCTCCAGTGCCCCAGGCTCGGTTTAATGGGAAGTGCGTGCACTTTGCCGGAGACTTGGGCTAGATAGAAAATGTCAATCGGCCATCTCCCTTGCCTTGAACTGTATTGTATATATAAATATATAATGAGGTGCGTCAGTACTCGGGAGGAGTTTGGGGCTCAGACGCTCAATGTCAGGCGGACCTTTGCTGCTTATAATTGCCTCAGGACAGATATTCTTTGGTTTTCTTTTGTGCAGCTCGGCACTACGCAGTGGCACCCTCAGCACTGATGCTTCGGCTGCTCTTGCTCCATGCCCGCACCAAAACCAACAGATGCAATTAAAACCGTGAATTTCGCTCAATCGTGCAAAGCATCGGCCCTGAGAGTACCCCGCTAAGCCCGGAAGCAACGGCATGTCGTTTGCCCAGCATCGAGCAATTTGGGTGTACGTACACAATCACAATATATTTGTGATTATACGCATAACTTATTGTAATATTTTTTAATATTATTATATGCCAAATTATAGTTATTTGTGATTAACTATATAGATACATATGCACATAATGTCACCATCTCTTGATCCCACCACGCTTCTGAAAGAGAGAGAGAGAGAGAGAAGAAAAACAAAGACAAAGTGTTTCCACTGCCTTGACATCAAAGCACAGCAGAGGAGTTCTGAGCTAAAACACACACACACACACACGCTAAGGGTAAATACACTTGCACCCGCTAGCCAACATGGCAGACCGGCAACCACTGAAGAGACGCAGGCACTTCAGGCACTTTGGCTTTACGTTCATTTGGGCTCTTGCCTTTGACAGACGTAAAGCAACATTGTTCGCCGATTCGCAGCAGGTTGGGATGTTGAGGCTTCACCGTAGACCTTCATTTTGCCTCCATGTCTGGCGTGCATGCGGTCGATGGAGAAGCTCGGCTTGGCCGCTCGACCGGAAGCTGAGGCTCCGATCTTGAAACTAAGGTCGAACAACTGCAGTGCCTGGTGGCTCTGGAGAAAAAATCAAAGACCAGGCCATTGCTTGCTAGTTTTGTTGGGTTCAGTGACAGGATGGTGTGGCATGGTGCCACATCATGCAATGAATCTTACAGTCACGAGATGTCCTTGCTCCAACTCTTGGCACTTGTGGCTCATTGTAGAGTCACTCATGCCGGAGGAGGCGGAAGCACAGGCCGAAGCGGAAGTGCAGGCTGAAGCGCAGCGGCGACTCTTCCAGGCGTGGTGAGTTTGAAATCACCACAAGCTTGGTGTACAAATCCAGACTTGCCAGGTTGTCATTGTATACACAAGTTTCTGCTACAGAATGTAGCTACGTGCCGAATTGAACTCTGCCTGGATAAGTGTAACTCCTTCGACTGAATACGTGCGGAGCCGGGTTAGGGTTAGTCTATTTTCCAGTGCAGTTTAAAGCATTCCCTTACTGTGGTGTCATTACACATGAGAACCATGCTTCATCCTTCCCCATTGAAGTTTGCTCTCATTCCCTGCTGAAGGCTTCAGCAGGAGCTATGTCATTGCAATATTGCCGTGACAATGGCGGAAACAGCCTCTCGCGCTTCTTGCGGAAGATTACCATCGATATGAGCACCCGACTCATTTGACATGGACCGTTTGTCGCTAGAATGTGCTGAATGCGTTGGAATTGAGTGGTTGGTTCCCAGTCAAAGCTGCTGGTTCCTCTCCCTCAGGCTACACCTTCAGGCACTGGCGGAGGCATCAGCGTGCGACACGCCACCTGCAGCTTTGGACACCAAGGCTGCTTGACATTGAACATAAATAAAGTCCTAAGCCAATGCCAAGAATCCTTGCCGAAGTGACGGGGGCGGTGGAGCAAATTGCACTTCGTTTTTTTTCCGTAATTGACATGTTACACATTGACAGGCTCAGGGTAGCAAGCAACTGAGTAATTACTCGGTGATACTTAACTTGACTATCTGAACTCGGATTGCTTTGGGCTAACACTCAGACACCGCTTCCCATGCTGACAGAAAGTAATAATTACTTCAGAGATCTTCATTTGCATGAGGAAGATCATCACCTCTGACAATATCAGACGTTTGGTTTTCCCTGACCTGGCCTTTATTGGTACCACATCTGGCCGCTGAGCTGCAAGACGAACTAACCTCCTTCGCAAGTTTTCGGCCTTTTGGTCTATTGGGCCCTAAATTTCGAGATGCTCCAGCTTAGCCAGGGCACCGAATACAGCCTTTGATGTTGGAAGTGTAGCATTGTTTGAAGGCCTTATCACCTACTACAATTCACATGCTGAAGTGGTAGCAGGATTGGCTGGAAGCGTCTTGGCATGGATTCACGCGTGGCCACGATGGCACCTTCAAACGCTATTTCAAGAACAGTTCGGGGCACGACACACCGGTAAAAAAGACGGATACACAGTTACACACCTTTTCAAGCGACTTCAATGGCAGGGACGGCACGGGACTGCACCCGCCTCATGATTCCAAATAGCAAACGAAGCTTGGTGACACTCACCACCGATGATCCACCCTTCGACCAAGGCCTTGACTTGAGCTTGCCTTCCTTGCTGACACTCCCAGCAGCTTTGCGCTATCCATGTTTGCAGTGTGAATTTTGGAGATGTTTGAGCAACAGTCAGCTGCCAGTTGCGAAGTCTGTGGAACTCTGGAATCCATCAGGTCGAATGCTTCACCTTGACCTCAGTCGCTCTTGGTTTGCTGGTCACTTTCAAGACACAAACCGGATATCAGAGGTTGCTCGTTACCACTTAGTGGATCTTAGTAGCATGCTGCTGAGTTAAAGCGATGACGCGCCGCGCTTGTTTCGTTTTTTGGGGCACACTGCACAGACTGCGCATGCTAGTGTGTGCGGGACACCATTGGCACACCAAGGTTTACGGAAGGTCGCTCTTTATGGGGGTTGCTCATCAATGAATCACGAGCCATGGCCAGCCGAGTTATGGCACGTGTGCCATCGCCAACAGGCCAAGATTTTTGTCCTTTCAGGGTGCACTGGGCGTTGCAAGTCTCATTGGCCACACCTGCCCTGAGAGGCATCATGAGCCCAGAAGTATTGGATGGGAAAACTTACGCAGTCAAGCTCATTAGGAGGGAGCCCTTGTTTTGTGGTTGACTTGCTGCATCAGACTTTGTTGAACGTTGAGCATTGTGGGGTGATTTGCTTTGCAGGACCCTGCCTGTGGTACTTAAATACCACCTAACAGAGGATGGTGGCAACCCGCAGATTGTAATCACGCGACTTGGACCCGCTGATGAAAGTTTGCGCAAGAAAATCCATCGGGCCATCGTGGTTCATTGCAAATCCTGCCATCTCGGAAACTTCCTGAAGTGAAAGCACGGTTTTCTAATGTTTTCTCACAGGGCGAAGACCTCCGATGCAGAATTGCGGAAGAACACTACTGCAGCAGCTTGGGTATTGAAAAACCTATCTTTGGGGTTGGCCTACTGGCCTACTGCGTTGCACAGCACGGTTTCGATGTTTTGGGGCGCCAAGATTCCTTGAGGCTTTGAAGTGCGAGCTGCAGCAGGTTTGGAACCCATTCGATCTCAAACAGAAAGACTTCATCGAACGGCTCGTTGAGGCTTGGAGCTGAGAACTGAATGCTTGTGAATGCTTGTGAATCCAGTGCTCCTGGTATTGGTAGATGCCAGCACCGGATCATTCAGGCGGATGTGGCAAATCGGCCTCTCTATGTTCTACACGAACTGCAACATACTTCTGCTCAAATTTTTGCCCAACCAACGTTAGGAGGCACCTGTTGCGAACGTTTTCACTGCTTGCGTTTTTGCATCGTTTTGCCGCGAGTCAGCGTCCTACCATAGACTTGTTCCAATCCACATTGGTAGGACTGGACCCTGTGGCAGCCACAGAGATGGATCGCAGCCTCACAACTTTCCATAATGCTTCTGGGACGGTCGGAATTGCACCTATAACTCAGGTTTAATTTTTCCAGCTTTAGCACATGTGAGCAGATGACAATTTTGGGAGGGTATTGATTTACCGGTAGATACCGTAGATACCGGTAGTGTTTAAGATTTTGTATAACTAATATGCTGTATTTATGTTCTGCACTTGGCAATGACATTGAGAATCGTAGAGCTGAAGCTAAGAGGTGTCAACACCACATGGCCGACTGACTCAGCGGAATCAGGTCCTGGGTGCTTGCGAGAAGATTCTGCGCACGCCGATCTATACTCCATATACTCGCTTTACCAGCCGCTTCTTGTTCATGCTGCTTGGATTTGCTTGGCTTCAGCTTGGCTTGGTCTGAAGGGAACGTTTCACACCTGAAATCCGGCAGCCCTACCAAGACTTATTGTACTCTAGCAGGAGGCAAGGAAGTCTCCTCCTGTCCTTCGACTTAAGCTCAATAACCCCAAAGTTGGCTCTTCTCATCTCCACTCCAGAGAGTTTGTTTTCTGTTTTGATCAGTCCCCTAGGGCCCACCCCCACATGTTTGCACATCACATGCCAAGGTGGTGTAATGCTTTGTACCTTGCTTAGTCTTGCACTGCCCAGTCTCTCAAGTTGTGATTGTGTTGTGTTTCTGCTCCTTGTCCAAGGCCTTTGGCGATGTATCCAGTTGCTGGGCCAGTGCTGACAGTACCAGTGACCCTTGTGACCAGCTTCTTTATGCTCGGCATTGAGGACCGCCTGCGAACTTGGCTTGTATGACTTGAAGCCTCATTTGCCTTGATAGGACATTGGTTCCAGAGTAGAGCAGCCTTTCAACGCCTTGCCGTTGTGACTCGGTTGAACACTTGGATCCAATGTGCACTTCGGTCAACATGTTGTCCATCTGCTTGTTTTGGCTCAGGTGGCAGTATTGTCAAACTGTTCCTTGACGCATTGCAGCAGTATTCTGCCTTCAGCCTGGGCTTGATGTGTCAACACTCCTCCTACTCGTAGCAAACAACTCAGGCAGAATCCAGAGTGGGCCCCCCCAAAACATGTCCAGGCAGTTTGAACATGCAATTGCCTTCTAAACAGGTATGAAAAGGAGTTTCTCCGCCTTTCCTTTGAAAAGGCAGTTCAACAAGTTTTGTTGAACTTATTTTGGAAAGGAAAGGATATATATATATATGTAACGGATGATAACGGATGAGAGGTTCAGCATATAGTTAGTTTTCGTATGGGAACAAGAAGCACTTTGCTTGAGGGAATGCTTCAGGGTTTGAAAGACGTTTTCAGACGCCACGAGAGAATACATCTTTTTTCCAGCATCAATGAGTTGCAAACTTGTTTACATTCGGTACTGTTCACTTACACTTGTGTGTTGTGCAATTTGCATACTGTCACTAAGGTTGAACAGTCCTGCATCCAGATATTGAGGTCCGGTTCACAGTGGTATGCTTCCGTCACACTTGCTGCACCTAGTTTGATGCTGAGCTAGTCCTGGCCATTGCGTACGGATGTGAATAGTAAACAGCGATCAAGCAGTAAAGCCAAAACGGACCACGGCTGGTGTGCATGCAGCTTCGCAAGTTGTACAACCTGTTCAACATGGTGCACACCATGGCGCAAGATGTACATCACTTGACTCACCTTAAACTCTTTCACCTTCTTTCCTTCGTTCTATTATGTTCTATTCCTTTTTGGTCACGAGACTTGCCTTGGAAGTTGCACCTCGCACACTGCACCAGGCACAGTGACTTGCTGGAGCAAAGCGAGACCACCAGAGAGGAAGATCTTGATGAGATGGAATGGGACGTATCTTGGCGCCAAAGCCTTGCAAGCCCAGTCCAGTAACTTTGGTCCAGAACCCGTTTGTCCGAAAGTTCTTTGGTGTCCGGTGTGTATGCGTACACGGTTCTTGGAGCTCCCTGCTGGAGAGGGCTTTCAAACCAACAAATATTGCACCAGAGGACACAATGATCGCGATGCTCCATTCTCAGAATCACACACTTTTTGCAGCTGTTGACAACCTTGAGGTGGACAATCTTGGGCAGCTTGGCTTGTGGATGACCTTTCTTATGTCACTTTTTGTGGCCGGTGCTGCAAATGCAAACCAAATCATGCCAACTTACTGCCATGATTTGAACCCATGTTTGCTTGCAATGTGCCTCGATGTCTGAGGTCTTATGTCGATCCCCTTTCTCTCAAGACTCAGAAGTAGTGATAAACCATAGCATGGCTGCTATATCGGGGAGCGTTTCCGCCAAAGATGCAGAGAGGCAGACCGATGGCACAGCCGGAAATGAGAGAAAGAAACGTTCGGAATCGAGATTTCAAGGCACACTTTTTGTTTGGCAACAGATGCAGTAAGGCTCAGTAAGGCAGAATAAGGCAGAAACATGTTTCTGTCCATGGAGATGCAGATGTAGCATTCTGAGGCACCAGAAGCTGCAAAATCCTTCCTAAGTGGCTATCACCTTAGATGTGGGGGAGATGGGGTCAGTGAAGAAGGCCCAAATCTGCCTAGTGCCCGTGGCCAATAGCCTGAGACTAGCGGACAGCTTCCAAGCTTTGCAACTGTTCAGCGCAAACGAATAGCATTCAAAAACCGCATTTCGATTGTGGTGATGCGCTCAGTTCTGGGCTTTCCTTTACCGGGAAAACAGGTCTTGGGCTAAGCCGCTACGCCAGGCCAGAAAGGATGAACTAGAGCAAGCATGGCCTACTAGGAGCAAGGACGCTACTAGGGGCTCCTGGCCTTACTACTAGGAACAAGAAGCTACTATGGGCTCCTGGCATCGCTACTACGAGCAAGGACGCTACTAGGGCATGCAGAACCGTGCCAAGGCACCCAGGACAGAACAAGCATGCAGGTGCTCGGCGGTATCCGCTAGTGTCCTCAGATTGACCCGTAAAGGGCCACATCAGCTTTAGTGGTCACTGCGCATAGTTTGGTCTGTACCGCAGTTGTGCTGCATATTGTACATAACAAGTCATATCAATTCATTAAGGACTATATATATAAATACTCAGTTTGTGGCAAGAAGCTGGCTATGGAAATCTATTTTGGCTGGCGGGTAAGGCTCTGAAAGTGGACTCGTTGGGAAGAGCATTGTGCCCAGATGGCTGATTGCACTGCCTCATATCGCAGTGCTGGTGTTCGAGGTCATTGATATCTCGCCGCGTTTTTGCAATGCTTGCCTCCCTCTCAGTTAGTGTATCATGTGTTCACTTCGATTCAGATATATTTGAGCATCAGCTCGTGTGCACAGCTTCAGGTCACACCTTGTCACCATGGCAGAGTGACATTCTGGCAGGACACTGCTCGCTTACCTTCAGTGTGGTCGTGGTGAGAAGTGTTCATGACAATGCCATAAATCTTTGCTGCCAGGTTGGAGGTCTTCCAAAGCCGGGGAAGCGGAAGAGACTGAGTCAGCTGCCTGAACAGGATCTTCGCAAGGTAAAGGTTGACAAAAACAGCTCGCCCACAGGTTCAGCAGAGGACGCTAGGCTATTCTTCTCCACAGACAGTTTTCTTCTCCAACACTGTCATTGGGCTATTTAATCGCCGGTTTGCTTCGCTTGGCTTATTTGGCTTTAGCGCACCTTGACTCACTAGCCTCTTTCCATTCCTTTTTCTTGCAATAGGCTCAGTTGGTCCTTCCTGCGTTTTTGCTGCTTGCTTTTTGCTTAATGCAGTTGTTGTTCCTAGGATGTTGGAACATGTGGTCTTCGTTTTTGTCCGCTTCGATTTTGCTCCCAGCAGCTGGCCTTTCCCCACTGTTGCTGTTTGATGCTGTTTGCAGCCGATGGCTCCGCGGCCACGACATCTCTCTTTACGCTCACTTTCAACGCACTCCGTGGTAGGTTCTCCTCAGGCCAAACTTCAACACCAGGCGAAAGGCTGGTGGCTTAAGCGGCTGCATGTTCTGTGTCCAGCACGGATTCCAACAGGAGCAAGCTCATGGGACAAGGCTGCAGCCACAATCACATTGAGGCAAGCAAGGTTCTGATGCCAGCCGCGGGGCACATGAGCTCAGAATCTCGCTTGATGAGAGCTCTGGCCTCCGGTTGGTCTCCAGGCCAGCCCGGAATCCGTTTCAAGCATGCTTTGCATGGTGGTTGGCTTCCACTCACTCTGCTGCCTAGCAAGGACTGCAGCACACATTTTTGAATAGTCTATGTGTCGGGTGAACCCCCGTGACCGTAAAATAACCAACCTCAATGCACGTGCTGCCAAGCACATCAAGAACATGTTCAGCAGCAGTATATCTAATGGAGGTTTGACGTCTGGTGCAGCTCACAGCTTTTGACCCAAACATGAGTTGGTGCTGCTGGAGGGCTGCTTCCAGTGGCAAACAGTAGTTCTTCGCAAGCTGGGGGACGAACGCAACTCGGCCCCGTGGCATGGCCTCCCACTTTCGCTGCTTGCTTGTTTGTTTTTTTGCTTGTTCTGTCTGCCTGCCTGCCTGCCTGCCTGCCTGCCTCTCTGTCTCTCTGTCTCCTCTTGTCTTCTCTTCTCTCTCTTGTCCAACCGCCCAAAACCGTCACCGCTGGGTGCCGCACGTATAATCACGTGCACTATTATAGAAGAACGCCTTGCCGGCTTCAATGTCGTGTCCTCCAATGACACTGGATGTGAAAGACATCTTGTTGTTGAAAGTATTTCGTCCAGTCTGTCGGTGCACCTTCGATCTTCATCTCCTGCGCGCACATGGTGACAACCACAGTGACCTTCAAAGACGAGGTCTCCACAATGTCTTATAAGCTACACACAATGGATGCAAATTAAAATATTAAGAGAAAAGATGTGTAGAAAGAGAGAAGGAGAGGGCGGATGTGAAGGAGTGACAGTGTGGATGTGAAGGTGTGATATAGATGCGCAGATGTGAGGAGGTGGAGAGGTACATATGCAGATGTGAGCATGTCAAGATACTCTCGTGGGCCACTCTCTCTGGGACACTCTTGTGGGAAGCTCTTGCGGGGCACTCTTTTGGGACACTCGTCGCGACTACAAAGTCGCCAATTCTCATCTTCCAGCTCCCCAGATACTCCGCGTACTAAAGTTTTACTACAAAGTCGCCAGTTCTCATCTTCCAGCTCTCCAGCTACTCCGCGTACTACAGTTGTACTACAAAGTCCCCAGTTCTCATCTTCCAGCTCCCCAGATACTCCGCGTACTAAAGTTGCCCAGTTCTCATCTTCAGCTCCCCAGATACTCCGCGTACTAAAGTTTTACTACAAAGTCGCCAGTTCTCAGCTCCCCAGATACTCCGCGTAGTACAGTTTTACTACAAAGTCGCCAGTTCTCATCTTCCAGCTCCCCAGATACGCGCGCACATGGGACTCATCGCCCAGTCGTCTGCATTTCGCGCACTCGACACGCACGATCTCCGCAGAAGGTTTGCCCGCGCGCAGGACACATCGCGCTCTCGCCTGCATTTCGCGCATTCGACACGCGCGATCTCCGCAGAGGGTTGCCCGCGAGCGGGAAAAATTGCGCTCTCGCCTGCATTTCGTGCACTCAACACGCACGATCTCCGCAGAGGGTTGCGCCGGACCGGGTCAAAACGCACTCTCGCCTGCGTTTCGCGCCCTCGACACGCACGATCTCCGCAGAGGGTTGCCTGCGACCGGGACAAAACGCATGCACTCTCGCTTGCATTTCGCGCCCTCGACACGCACGATCTCCGCAGAGGGTTGCGCCGGACAAAGCCAAATCGCACTCTCGCCTGCGTTTCGCGCACTCGACACGCACGATCTCCGCAGAGGGCTGCGTTTCGTGGTGCTCCCGCGGCACCGCCGCCGGCCTTAAGAGAGAAAGTCAAGAAGAGCGAGATGGATGTGAAGATGAGCAGAGATGTAGATGTGCAGATGAGAATGTAGATGTGAAGATGAGCAGAGATATAGGTGAGGATGTGAAGCTGAGCAGAGATGTGAAGAGGAGCGGAGATGTAGATGTGCAGATGTGAAGATGAGCAGATGTGAACATGAGCAGAGATATAGGTGAGAATGTGGATGCGCAGAGGTGAAGATGTGAAGATGTAGATGAGACGAAGTTCTGCAGATGTTCCTTTACGAAGAACCCTTCGCAGACGCTCCCGGGAAAAAGGCGCGAATTAAATAGAAAATACGTGAAGAGTAGATGCTGACTGTCCTGCAAATGTCCAGCATCCGGAGCAAAAAAACATTTTGATCCCTTTTGATTTCCTCTTCAATGTCCTTTTAGTTTCCTTTTGATCCCTTTGATGTCCTTTTGACTTCCTTTTGGTTCTCTTTGATTTCCCTTTGGTTCCTTTTGGTTTCCTCTTGGCCCTCACTCGCTGAGCTTACCACGTGATACACCTTTTCCGTCAGCTCCAAACAGAATATACTGCAGGACCCCTGCAATGAATTTGTGTATCAACATATTCAAAAAAATATACATCTTCTGGTTGCCCCCGGCCGGTGCAAATAGAATATAGATCCTAGGTACATTTCTTCTATAATAGTGCACGGTAGTATATGTGGTCGCTACGTTTTTGTGGTTAAGCCGCAGTCGCAGTGAAAAGCGATGAAAACGATCCTGGGCCACCCCCCACGTAGACCATGGCCGTATGGATGCCGTTTGCGATCTGCAGTCTCAAGGCCTCGGAATTCTGAGTCGAAAGTTTCTTCGAAGGTCCCAAGAGGATCTGCGGTATGGCGATCGAGCGACCGGAGCTGGACAGTGGTCTACACGCAGCGCCTGATCCAGAAGCTTCCTGCGGTACCTGCGTCGAAAAACTGCAAGCACTGTGCGCAGAGTCTACGCAGCAGCCCCGCAGTGTGTGACACACCCAAGGGTGTTTCAAGGTCATTCAATTTGGCTACACTCCGACTGGAACTTCACCACTGCTCTCATTGCTTTGGTTTGCCTCTAGCCCCCCTACGCTGACGAGTTCCCTCGCCAAAAATCGCTGCTGGACCCACCTGCTTTGCTGAAAGGCCTTCGTGGCGCGTACTTATGGCGCTAAGGCAAAAAAGTCCACAACCTAGAGCTCAAAGCAGTTCATATACTGTACACCAATTCCAGGGCGTCTGTGGAGTACCCCATTGGAATAGTTCTTCTGGGCCATGGTTTGAAATAGTTTGGGTGGCTGCCAGCAGCTGGAGCGGGGATTCGTTGTGGTGTGGTGAGGTCGGGAGGCGTATACTCAGGGATGCCGAAGCCAAACCCACGCCGTCACGCCAATCCTTCAAGGTACGGACCCTCCGTTGTTTATGACTTCCCTCGCTATGTTTGCTGCTCACAGGGCGGGGGCGGGACGTGAGCAACCTGCGCAAAGGGAGGACGTTGAGACCACTTTGTGTCGTTGCAACTAAAGTTGGAGTTGGCTTAACGTTCACCGGCCGGAGGCTATGTTCTCATGTACGCTCGGCACAGCGTGGGGTGGTGCATCATACTCGGGACTCGTGTTGAGCCTCAATGTCGGGTGTAGGTCCGGGGTCTCGGTCCAACTGGTTTCAACAAGGTAGCGCCCATTTCCGCTCATGTCTTCTCGTTGTGCTTTCAGGGCCGGCTACGCCCCGTGACCTGCCTGCTTGGCTTGACCAGAAGACCGGCCGCCCACCATAAGCCGCGCGGTTGTGCTGGGTTTGTCCCAGAAGGAGTCCCATAAGGATTCGGAGCTCTGCTCCAGACCTTTTAGGCGAGCTGGTGAGGGTGTGGCCTGGGTCTGCGGGTGCTTGGACGGAGCCTTTGCGAAAAGATATTTGTTCACTTTTAGATTTTCCAATACAAAGTATCGAGCGATCGTGCTTCATTCCTCTCTTTTGAAGATCCGCACCGGGGCGGGGCGCGCGTGGCGGGGATATTCCTGTGGTTCCTTCCTAGCGTCGGCTTTAGTTGATGGGCTACCTTCCCCATTCTCGTTGGTTCGTTCTTAACAAGGGGTTTTGACAACATGGTTCGATTGACCGGATCCAAAGGATATAGAAGGAATCAAAAGGACATTTATCATTCGGTGACAAACAAATCAAATAATATCAAATAATTAATTGAAAAACGCTAGGTCTTGCTTTCAAAATAATCATAAACGGCGATTAAATTAATATTTTTAATTCGTATTTAACGACGGTTATTGCTCTTTTAATTATTGGCGACGTTAA